AAGACTATGAACAAAGTATCAAAACAATAAACAAGACTATGAACAAAGTATCGAAACAATAAACAAGACCATGAACAAAGTATCAAAACAATAAACAAGACTATGAACAAAGTATCAAAACAATAAACAAGACTATGAACAAAGAATCAAAATATAATCACTCTAATGAGGAAGACAAAGCTGTGAACAAAGTATCAAAACAATAAACAAGACTATGGGCAAAGTACAAAGTAACAAAGAAATACTCACTAGGAATGGACTTCTAGGAGAAAAACACAAAGGCACTCAAAGGAGGCAAAAATTCAGGAGGCACAAAGGTGGGGGAACGGGATCATCTTCATCTCCTATTATTTATTATTCCAGAGTCAGAATCATGAGCGAAGCCTTTATGCTAGCATGTATCATACAGCTAGCCAGCTAGGTTAGCTTTAGCTAACGTTAGCTGGGAGAACTGAACTAGCGCTTATTTACTAGCTGATATGTCATTGTATTTTTTAATTTACCTTGATATGCTTCTTCAGATTAGATGGGGAATTTTTGAAGCCGATAATTAACAATCTTTCGGGAGGCTTTTTTTTTAATAGGCTATACTTGATCGTTCAAACCGCCCAATGAGGAGCCAGCTTCACAAACCCTGACAGAGCTATCTATCATTACGTTTACATATCAGTAACGGGTAACGATTCAGCCCGTGAAAAATCGATCGGAGTAGAAGTATTGAAATAATCAAAAATATGTAGTGGCGTAAAAGTAAAAGTAAAAGTAGGGGAAAAAACGTATACTCCAATAAAGTACAGATACTGCATTTTGGTGCTTAAGTACAGTACTTAAGTAGCTCTACTTCGTTACTGAACATCTCTGTCAAAGGCAAGGTTTAACTATGACAAGGGATAACTGTGGAACGCAACACACTGGCACAGGACAAGGGGAGACGCATGCGCACTCATTACCGGGCTTGAGGCGGTTTATTTATTTATTTATTTTTTACGCGTGTGCGCGTTTGTTAGCATGTGTCTTTCTCTACCTTGTGGAGGTCGAAGTTGGGCTGCACGCGCGGGCTCGGACACGCGCCCCAGCGCACCAGCTGCGGCGCGCTCAGCGGCAGCGTCAGGAGGAGGAGGGCCGCCAGCAGCATGGCGGGGGGGGGGGCACACACCCGCAGACTCACCTGGACACGGGAGGAAAAGGCTGGAATATTATATATATATATTATATATATATACTATATATTATAGAGCTAATGACGTCAGAAACTACCCACTCCTGAAACAAAATCCCATAAGGATGAAGCCCAATAGCAGTTCAGTCCCCCTGCCAAAACAGCCCCGTTCACGCTAACCTTGTTAAGCCAAGTTAACGCTTTACATTGCTAACGCTACCATGCTAACACTATCACGCTAACGCTAACATGCTAACGCTAACATGCTAACGTTAACATGCTAACGCAACCATGCTAATGTTCACGCTACCATGCTAACGCTAACGCAACCATGTAAATGCTACCATGCTAACGCTACCATGCCAATGCTACCACGCTAATGCTACCAAGCTAATGCTACCACGCTAACGCTACCATACTAACGCTACCAAGCTAACGCTACCATGCTAATGCTCACGCTAACGTTACCAAGTTAACGCTACCATGCTAACACTTCCACGCTAACGCTACCATGCTAACGCTACCATTCTAACGCTCACGCTACCATGCTAACGCTACCATGCTAACGCTACCATGCTAGCGCTACCATGCTAACGCTACCATGCTAATGCTACCATGCTAACGCTACCATGCTAACGTTACCATGCTCACGCTACCATGTTAACGCTACCATGCTAACGCTACCATGCTCACGCTACCACGCTAACGCTACCATGTTAACGCTAACATGCTAACGCTAACATGCTAACGCTAACATGCTAACGCTGCCAAGCTAACGCTACCATGCTAACGCTCACGCTACCAGGACGTCTCCACAGATAGGGGAGTAAGCTGAGGGGGGGGGGGCAACATGCAGGTGAAAGGCTGGAATATTATAATGAGCTAGAGCTAATGACGTCAGAAACTACCCAC